ATAATTGGTTTAGATGTGTTCTTTGATCACACCTCACATAAGCTTCGTAAGCCATGGGAAATTCCAATTCGGTTTCATTTTCCATTCGCAATTATGTGACTTGGAAATTTTCAAACTTTAGATCTACATTCTCTAACCGTCTTAACATTTGGATAACGGGGTGTGCGATAGACTTACTTACACGTGGTGCACCCTGGGCAACGTATACTCATACGGCAAAAAAATCAATTATTCGGCAGTTGACTTCTCACTTCAAACAACCATCACCCCCACTGTATGTCATATTCGACCCCTACCACTACTCATCTTACCCTTTCTAAGCCTTTGTGTCTGTTTCATTTACATCTTTTAAACACCCTTCTATTCCCCCTCCTGAATTCGTCTCACTTTGATGTTTCTCCTCCCCTCTGTGAACCCCGAAGCCAACTAAAGGGCTAATGATAACCATCAGAACGCCTGCCATTTGTTATAAATAAATAAATACATTTGGATAACTGAATGGTGTTCACTTTCGTGTTAAGTAAAAACGCACCTCCCAGTCTCCTTCAGAAAATCCTTTTCCATCACTTGGTGTTGAAGCCTACCAGATGAGAAACTTGAATCTTGAAATCTCATTGTTATCCGTGTCACTGTGAAGTTGGAATTGCCAAAAAGTACTACATCAATTAGCCTTCTTCTCATTAGTACTGGAAATAACGCTCATCGTATATATTTTGTTGGTGAGAACTACTATGAACAACGTTGTACTTCAAATAGTTCGAATTAAACTACAATATTCTGTCCCTCTAGCAACGAGTACTTGTGTCTTCCTTCATGCTGGTTGTAATATAGACTAATAGATAGAACAATTTGGAATCTGACAACCTGACCATTAACGATTCTTCTCACTGAGTGCTAACCGTTGTACATCGAGTCAATTTTTCGGCATCTTTAATTTGAAATTAAAGAGTCAGACTTTTAAAATCGTGATTGATTGAATGAATGCAATTTTGTAATCACCTTACCGGTGATATAGCCTAAATATGCAAATTGACTAAGATGCCTTGGACGCAATCATTCAGACCACTCACTGACCTCACAAATCCTCTTCAAACTTCGTAGATTGACCTGATTGGAGCTCAGCCAGTGTTTATTAGGTAGGCAGTAAAAGGCCTTATTCATGGGAGCAGCAGGAGTCGGTACCCCCGTCACATCTGAGGGTGAAGTGAAGATTGATTGTGAGCTACTTTGTATACAAGTTCGCATGTCCCAAGTTTAGCCTCTGAACTCATCCTTCCCTCCCCCTCACCTCCCTTGTCCGGATCTTATCCAAATGAAGTATTATCCCTGCATTTGGCTGTGTTGAGAGGACCTATAATTTTATCGTGTTATGACTATTGAAGCCAACCAGTTAATGGAGAATGGAATGAGCTTTAAGATCTTTCCTAGGGAATGTGCCGTATTGATGCTGTATTAGACGCTGGTGATGGTTCTTTTGGAGGAAGCCACCTGAATAGAGCTCATTATCCATGTCAATAGAATTTATTTTAAGTTTCTTCTATTTTATTTTTTTCTGCTGAGACTGCCCCATTTAGCCCCCCCCCCCCTCCCTCCAAATACATCGATTCCCCTGCAAGGAAAACAAACTCCAGTTTAGCTCTAATGGATATGGAAATTTTATTCCAGCACTCCTGGCGACGAAGGTACAAGAATCTTCTTTATATTCTTCGAGGGGCATATTTAATCCCAAAATGAATGGTGAATACTTAAAAATATCAAACGTGGCAGGAATGATTGACTGTCAACTGAATTTCAAAACATCAGATCCATTTGTTAGTTTATCGCTATTAGCTTCTTTTAATTTAATGAAGATTTCTTCTCTATTTACGATCTAGTTTCTATCACTTGGCAACCAATTTTGCTTTAGAGTTACAAAAAATAGTATATTGAATCAAGATCAACCCTAGACTTTATTGACAAAGACACCTCTGTACAATTAGAGACGGAAAAAGGGGATCAGGGGGTGGGAATAAGAGTGAGCTCAACAAGCAACACTATTGGCATGATGATGGCCCAGAATCAACAGAAAAGTGGGCCAGAAGTCAACAACTACTGAAGGATCACAAGACAAAGACTGACAATCAATTGGTAGAGCAAGTTGTGACGGGAGGCTGATAGAAAAGATACGTGAAAAAAGAGACGAGGAGGTGTAAAGCTGTAATCGATCAGTGACAACACTCCTGTTCTCCCATCACGACAAATCTTCGCCTAAAGAAGAGAAAATATCCTAGGCAAGAGCCCAGAAGCAGAGCAACACAAACGTATACATTGTACGTCATGAACACCAACATCAGGAGATAGGAGATAAATAATTGCACACCATGAAGGATAGTTTGCAGAATGTGCTCCAGAGAAAAGTAGCTACGCCAGCTGGATTAAATTAACGGAAAATAAACGAAATAATTTAAACATCAAGTAAGCAATGACGTAATAAACATTTTTGGCAAGAAAACAAGTGAGTTACGATATAGCAAGATAAAAAATAAAACTAAACACGAACTAAGGTGAACATTACACGACAAATACCTGAATGAGGTTAATTAATTGTAAAGGGAAGTGGACTAAAATGTAACGTCAACCAAATAGTTAAAAACTGAGGATTAGCTTTACTGATTGAGTTCATACCGCAAATCTAAATTACTTACTCTCCAAAAAGGCTTACAAAACTAATGAGCCCAGACAATTTACAAAAATTTTAAAGTGATTTTAAATTAAAATTAAACGAGAGTTAGATAGCTTACACGAATTGGTGTTTTTGAACTAATGGAACAACAGGATTTTCAAAATTTACTTGTTCACCAGATTCAGGTGATTCGACAGAATTATCGCGAATGGCAACGTTTGCCCGATTAAGAATAGGGAATGAGCTTAGGTTTTGAACAAGAAGCCGGTCTCTAAATCCCTAGAAAATGGAGATTTCAAAAAATATAAATTGAAACTTACTTTCATTGCCTCGTAAATAATTGCTAATAGAAAAATTCCGACACAAGCGCCAACAAGTTCTACAAGACGATAATAAGGAAAACAAAACGTACTTGCTACTGTGTCAATATACCACGCTTCGAAAAGTAGATGAAAAGGTAAATCCGCATTGAAAAACATCTAAAAATATTAGAAAATTAAGTAATTGCGGGTATACCTTCATGCTGTGCATACTATGATCCATTCCATGCGAACCGGACGTGCCCATTTTATGACCTGCGTGAGGATCCATACTGGCATAAAAATTACAAAACGAGTAAACTGTGGAACAGAAAATATACAGATCGCCAAAATCTCTAGGTCAAATTGTAAGATCAAACAAATTAAATATATTATGTGATTTTAGGCCATATACGATTGCTATATGTTTTAATCGTTTAATATTTTAATTTTTCTGTTTAGTTTTAATATTAATTTGTGCAACACATTTCTTATTTGAGGTAGCTTATTGTTTTGTAGAAACGAAATTGGTATGAATTGAACAGTTTTGTGCTGTCCAGTTTAACCAAGTAGATTTCCATTCAATAATCCCTTTATATTTATAAATATTGCAAGTGAATTGAAAATCTTGTCTTCAATCTGGAAGTTTCAATGTGCAATTGATTATTCGTTTATTTATGATCAAACAAATAAGAATGATAATTGTGAACATTAATATACATGATATAAGTTGTAATACGTTCTTTTTTGAAACAACTGCATTTATTTTGCCCATACTATCTAAGTAGATATGTTTAATATTATACATTTATTATGCTATTTATGCTCAAATATTTGGAAGTTACATTTAAGAAAAATTACTGCTCACATTAATGTCGAAAAATCATTTTTCTATCCATTATAATTAGATATTTTCTTTCAAAGTAAGTGGTGCTCTGTGTATCATTCGAAGGCGTATTAACGATGCAAATTTATAGTGTTATTTGTCTTAGCTGATTTACCAAACGACTAAGATATTATTGGACATATGTTACGTCCATTAAGGATTAGTTGTTCTACGGGGTAAAGAAATCAATCCCCAACTCTCTACTATACATTTTAATCTATTGGTTGTAATAGAGTGCGTTTCGTCTTTCTCTCTGATCATTTATGAACCTTCAGTACAAATGTGGAAATAGAAATTTGATGAAGTGGGTAGAAAGTATCGAAATCTCATGAATTTGGTAACCGCTGGAAGCTAAAGATGTAAGTCCTGTAAATGCACGAGACAATTTATTGGTCAATAAATAAATGATTCACAAGCATCCAAAAAGAATCTGATCGTAAAATAGCATCACGGACAACACATAGAAAATGGTCAGTAATTACACTTTGACACAAAATACAGCAAGGTTGCTCAAAAGGAACTAAAAACTGAGGACGAAAGCGTAGTGGATTATGAGGCCTTGTCCGATATTTTCTCAAATAATTCTAAGAAACTAAAACAACGAATCAAATTTGAAAGAATCATATTTACGACATTGTAGAAAAAATAAACCGAAAAAGAATAAAAGTAACCGATAGCTTTAATGCATAAAGTATAATTGTAACGATATTTAACCGAACTAACATAGATTTGATGGCCGATTTTGGTCTGGCAAACTGGGGATACATCTTCTCAAATGGCTCCTTTGGTAGTGGTCCATAAACTAATTCCCTATTTAAAAATAGAAGCAAAATTGTGATTCTAAAACAGAATGAAACTGACATATAGCTAATTGCAACAAAAAGCTTACTCTTCATCCTTGTTTGAAATGGCTTCAAATCCAGCCCTGAGTTCGATCAAACGAGCTCGGAGGTGATTTCTCTCATAGAGGAGACTTCTGAATTGCTCCAGAGCAAGTAGGCTGTCCAGTTTCTCTGAATCGCCCTTGTTAGCAGTTGCAATGGATTCTAATCCTTCACAAGGCCCTAAGTGTAAGGGCATATTTGGCTCTTGTGGTGACTCAATCTGTAAATGTAGGACGAATCGGTAGTGCATTGACTCAAACCTGAGTTAACTTATTTGGCAATGATCTTTATTGCTTGTACATCCGATGAAGAAAGAAAACCAAATCAATAACCTCTCTCAGCTTAACTTAATTCACCTTGTCAATCAAAACTCGATTTTCACCTACACAGCTCTGATATCTTCTTTGTATCAGGCCCGATTCCCATTCCTGCTTCACATTTTCCTTTCTCATTTGCCTAGATATTAATTACTCTCGTGGTTATTATTTGGGAATGGGTTTTATAGAAAGGTTGTTAGTTTTGTTGAGTTATTCCCATGTCTTCCTAGATCCAATTGATCTTGAGGTTCTACTAACGAGATTACCGCCACTTAATACACCAAAACTATGGTGCTATCTGCTTCAGACCACATAGGGTTTACAAGTTGATATTCACTGCACAACTTGAGGAACGAGGAGGCAGAGCTTTGATACCAACGATTCAAAGACATGGGCTTTTTCACAGTTTGAATAAAGGAGATTACAATATCCCCCCACCCTAATTTCCACATTCCACTCCTTTCCCTCTACCTTCCGATCTATTCCCAATTATCCAATGCACATCGATCTCACCAACTTCTTGATCTTCTCATTCTATATGGAATTTTGCTCTCTCTTAACCCTAAGAAAAATCAAGTTACACTAATGGATATCTAATCCAACTTGGTACCACTCCGAAAGTAGCTTTTGATATCTGGATTATAGCAATGTTAAACACGTGGAGGTATTCGCTGGTCATTCATAAATATTCAAATAGATGTGTGCTTATAGATAGAAGGCAACAGAAAAGAAAATAGTCATACCTTCTGAGTGGTGCCCATTTCTATAGATAGTTCTTCGAGTTTACGTTCACAGACAGCTAATTGTTCTTCGAGAGTAGTCTGCTCAGAGCTGAGATAACTCATCCGTCGTGGAGACTTGGCCAACAGCTGTCCAGATTCTCGGGCCAACCGACAAACTTCCTCTTCAGCCTACCCCCCCCCCCCCCACAAAAAAAATAGATGTCAATATACTTCAAAATGTAAAAAAAACGATAATGGCGATGAGAATTACAAGATATGAATACTAAGTGTTAAATTAAGAAAAACACCTCCTGACTCATTCTTATACTAGATGCAGCTATCTTTACATGAATAAGTTGACATTTCCTACCGCATCTATTGAGGCCTCGAGGAAGAGAATATCCTCTCGTACTTCTTTAATTTCTCGAGATAGGTTAATTATACCAGATTTTAGCAGGCGAATCAATTGCAGATCACCAGCCCGACCTATGCACAATAAAGAGAAAAGACGATTTTTAAGATGTCAATAATTCTCAAGGTAAAGCGTGCAATTATTGAGTCTTGTAGAAGAAAAGGAGGAATTGAAGATTCGCATTTCTAAAGTATACTCCCCCCCCCCGACTCTCTCTCTGTACCAGCTCAAAATTAGGAGGTGATAACGTTGAAACTTTTTACTCAAGAAGGAGAGAAGGTGAAACTCCTACTTTGAGCCAAAATTAGTACTTAAGCAACAGGAGAATTGGATGAAATGTGAGCAGAAAAGTTAAATAGGGTCAATAAAAGCAATAGACAAAAATGACCACTGCACAAGCAAATAAAAAATGAAAACACTATGCTAGTAGAAGGCACTGGAAATGTGCTATCTAAGACAAACCACTCTATTTGGCCAAGATTTTATTAGGATTTGGAACGACTGCTATATATAACGAGTGATGATTTTCCGCACTAATAACAGTAAAAATTGTTGCAAGAATTTGGCAAACACTACCACCCGAATAAAAATGATACCTTGAAGTTGCTCTCAGGACATTTTTGCCACTCCTCTTCTATTAACCTATCTCAGATGCTTTCCGTGATTAAAAATCACAATTTTTTGCATTACCATGAGTAATAGGAACAAAAATAATGACAATAAATCTGTTAATAATCTTTGAACTAGTTGCAACCCAAGTAGATCAAACCAACCAAATTGATTCCGGATACACGTTTTCTTCTGGCACGAAGCAGTGCAAAATTGGCTTGCCACATACACTATAACGAAAACACCTTCGCTATCAATGCCACCAGCTCATAGACAAAATCAGACTCAAACAAAAAAATAGACATCACTTTCAAAACGAAGTTCTAAAACAAAGCTTGCTTCCATGCAGGGAAAGTTACGTAAAGAATGATTAATCGCCTCTGTAGGAATGGCATATTTTAAGGAGACTTATTGACAGAGGGGAGTAGATTGAGTTTGAATGAGAAAATCGCGACATGGGTTTACCTAAGGCTGATATAATGTCAGCATAGGTAAATACACCGACTTCTTCCTTTGATTCCTACAGCATTACCACATATAGTAATTCCAAAATCATTAAGTTGTAATCTGTACTAACGTATACGAAAACTAACCAATTAATTAGTTCTGGAATGTATAAAAGGTGGCAGGAATGTTTTTTTTTCAAATAGCATCGTCATCAGAAGGGAAAATGAGAAGAACCTAGAACTGCTGTAAAGGGTTAATAGAAATCCATCTATTCTCGTTATCTCACCAATCTACGATGCCAACTGTAAACATATCCAATTACAGAAATACGTCGAGAACTGCCATTGATTAGAAATCGCAGACGTTGAATGAAGGGAAGTTGAGAAGATGATTAACCTAGAACACGACCTCGACAACAAGAATCACGGAGGAAGCTTCCAAAAAGTAAAAAGAAACGAAAGAAATTGAGCCTAATATAGAGAAAAAAGAAGACGAATAAATTAATGACCTTATGTAAGTAGGAGACAAGCACAAGCGCAGTACATGGAACGCTGATACAATCGAAAAGTGAAACAAGATAACAGGTAATAGAAATTTAAAATCAATATCTCCAAAATAAAAATAGGTGTAGGAGTAAAAGTAAGCATACAATTTTATTCTTATATTGACCTGCTGTGGGGTGTGTGATAGACTTACCTCCACGTGGTGCACCCTGGGCAACGTATACTCATACGGCAAAAAAGTTTATTACCTAGCAGTTGACTTCAAACTAACATGACCCCACTGTATGTCATATTCGACTACTTTCACAGTACTCATCCCACCTTTTTCCACCTTATCTACCTTCGTCTTTGATACACTCTTCTGTCCCCCCCCCCTTTGAAGTTCCTCCCTCCCCCCTCTGTGAAGACTGAAGTCAACTAAAGGGCTAATGATAACTATCAAAACCCCTGCCATTTGATATAATAATAATATTGACCTGTTATAAATTGAAAAGGGAAACAGGACGTAAAACCCACTTTCTTGTTGAATAAGTTGAAGTCTCTCTTCCGTGTGAGCCAAAAGAGAGTCAAATTCCAAAGACTTGATAGGAAGAGACGGAGGACGTTTAGATTGGGTCTCCTTGTCTCCTCGTCCCGTTACCAATTCCGAAACTGATGCAGTTTCCTTCTCTGTCCCTGTTGCCGTAGACTCAGCCTGTGCATTTTCCAAATGGCATTTGAGTCGTTGATTATCAGACTCTAATGAGGCGATTTGATCCATAAGGTGTTGGGTTTCGTTATACCAGCTCTGTTGCATTAAAT